TCATTCCCTCGCAGAAACACAGTTAGGCATCATCAGCTGTCCGTTGCTTTGAACTTCAAGTCCATTCAAGATCACAAGTTTCTGTCATGGCTTTCATATGACTGAAGTGGACAATTCCTGACCCATAGATATTTGGGCACATGGGGCAGAGGACATCCACAAGGTAGTAGTATATGGAATGCAGAAGATGCTTCACTTTGTATTTTTCTCTGCCGTTGCCTTAACCCATGATTAAGGTGTTGGACTCAAAGCATGTTGTAGATTGATGGTCAAATAATCAGCATTTTGACGAACTGGCAGCATGCTTCTGGCAGTCGTTAACATCAACACTGCTGCAATTCAAGGAGAATGCCTTCGAAGCAATTTCTTTGTCCTCACCTGGAATGCTGGGTACCCGAGAGTTGATAACAGGATCTGGTGAACTAGACTCTTTTTGGTGATTTGGAAACAATGCTCAGTCAATCACAAGTGACTTTACATGAATTTTGTCTGAATGTATGTGCATCTGGCTTCAAAAGGGACACTAACATTTATATGACAGCCCTCCAACTGAATCTGGGTTATGCAGCAAAGGAGTTGCTGACTGAACTTCTCTAGCACTATTATGTGTCACTGATACACAGTCCAGGTCTCACTGTAGTCCAGGATTGCGTTGAAAATAACTGTACACCAAGTCTTTTGTAGATCTGTGGTCTTTGCCGTCAAACAGTCTCAGCCATAGTTTGTAGGAAACCAAGATATGCATTACCTAGACACAGGGAAGAGGCATGTGTTCCAACAATCCTTTGACTAAAGCCGTAAGGAGCTCCCACCCATGATGACAAGGTGTCTTCAGGCAACAGCACCTGCGACTGAACAGTTCTCTTAAAGATACTACTCACTTATCTCAAAAGGGAAGGGAGTTTAAAAATACACCCTGAAAGTAGAAATAAAAATATCCCAATTTTGCCTGACTGGGAGGAGGAGGGACACACCCTGATGGATTTCCGTGACTGAGAAAGAAAATTTTGCAACTCAATGTTCGAACACTCATGAATATGAAAAGTGACCAAAACCGATGGAGTCCCCAGCTTCGCATTCAGATCCTGCTCGTACCAGCTGGCAAGACTATTCACTTACATCTTTAACCTTCCTTACAACGATCTGAAATCCCCACTTACTTCAAGAAGACCACCATCATCCCAGTACCAAAGAAAACTCATGCAGCACGCCTCAATTACTACTGCTCAGTGGGTGCCATAATGAAGTGCTTCCAGAGGTTAGTCATGGGTCATGTCAACTCTTGCCTCCCAGTCTGCCTTGATCCCTTGCAATTCACCTACTGTCACAACAGGTCTACAGCAGAAACCATCTCTGGCCCTACACTCATCCTTGGAACATCTGGATAATGTGAATATCTACATCAGGCTCCTACTCATTGACTACAGCTCCACCTGCAGCACCTTAATTCCAACGAAACTAATCTCCAAACTCTAAGATCTAGATCTCTGCTCTGCCCTCTGCAACTGGATCATCAACTTCCAGACCCACAGACCACTATCAGTAAGAATAGGCAACAGCATGCCTTCCACAACAATCCTCAATACCAGCGCCCCGCAAGGCTGTGCACTCAGCCCCTTACTGTACGCTCATGGCGTGTGGGCAAATGTCGTCCTAACTCTATCTACAAGTTCACTGACAATACCACTGTTACAGGCTGGATCTCAAACATTAATGAGACAGAATATAGGAAAGAAATAGGGTGCTTGGTGGTGTGGTGTCACCAATGTCAGCAAAATGAATGAGTTGGTCATTGACTTCAGGAAGCAAGGTGGCGGATGTGCTCCTATCCACATCAATGGAGCGGAGGTGGAGATGGTCGAGAGCATCAGGTTCCTAAGAGTGTTAACCACCAATCTGTCCTGGTTCACTCATGTTGATGTGATGGTCAAGAGAGTACAACAAAGCCTAAGTACAGACGAAGGAAATTCAGCATGTCCGTAAAGACTCTTACCGATTTTTACAGATGCACCATAGAAAGCATTCTGTATGGATGCATCACAACTTGGTATGGCAACTGCTCCACTCAGGACTATAAGAAACTACAAAGAGTTGTGAAGACAGCCCAGTCCATCACACAAGATAACCCCCCCCGAATCCACTACTCCATTTATACTTCCCGTTGCCTCAGAAAGGCAGCCAACATAAACACAGACCCCTCCCATCCCTGTTATAATGTCTTCCATTGGGCAGAAGATACAAAAGCTTAAACACACATATCGACAGATTCAAGAACAGCTTCTTCCCCATTATGAGACTTCTGAATGGACACCTCAAATTTCAAATTTAATGTTGAGCTCTCTCTCTGCGTCTTTTTTTTTTTAATTCATTCATGGGACAAGGGCTTTGCTGGCTAGGCAGCATTTATTACCCATCCCTAAGTGCCCAGAGGGCAGTTGAGAGTCAACCACATTGCTGTGGGTCTGGAGTCACATGTCGGCCAGACCAGGTAAGGATGGCAGTTTCCTTCCCTGAAGGACATTAGCGAACCAGATGGGTTTTTCCTGATAATCGACACTGGATTCACGGTCATCATTAGACTCTAAATTCCAGATATTTATTGGATTCAAATTCCACCATCTGCCATGGTGGGATTCGAACCCAAGTCCCCAGAGCATTATCTTAGTCTCATGGTTAACAGTCCAGTGACAATAACACTAGGCCATTGCCTCCCCAGTGTTTGGCTATATTAAAACTGAAAACATTAGAAATCAATGCTGTAAGCTTGCAGTAACTCCTAAGTATTGAATATTCCCACTTGGTATATAAATAACAAGCGGGACAGAACACCAACACTTCACCGGAGGCGCACTGATGATGTTACTTAGCAGGGTGACGAAACTTCTGCAATCAAACACAAGCCTACAACTGCATTATACACCTTTTAACACAATAACTTCTGAAATGTTAAGAGCTCAACACTTATTGAAATTAAATTCTCACTTGTAGCACTACTGGAAAATAGTAGCATTTGACAACAATCTACAAACTTAAAAAAACCCTCATTTTCTACCTTGTTTTGCTTAAGACCATGACTTAGGCACTAAGGAACCTTCAGTAAATTGCTAATCAATCTTCAGCATGAAAGTTCTGTTCAAATTGACACGCGATTACTAAGCACAATACAAACTCTTCACACTATACTGACTATAATTGTGAGAAACAGCACAATTATAAATGTTACCCATCAAAACTTGGGCTGTACAGAAGAGTCACATAATAGTTATAGTATAGAAGTCATTGCTAGGCCTTTCAGGTCCTCCATAAGGATTTAGCTAGTTGTATTACCAGCCCTTTCCTCGTAACACTGTATATATTGTTCTTTTCAGATGGTTACCTAATTCCCTTTTGAAAGCCACAAGTAAAATTGTCACCTCTTTTTCAGACAGTGCACTCCAGATTGTAACTACTCTGTCCATAAAAAAAGTTTTACCCTGATGTTGCTTTTGTTTCTTTTGCTAATCACGTTACATCTGTTATAACAAGGTGTAGAGCTGAATGAACACAGCAGGCCAAGCAGCATCAGAGGAGCAGGAAGGCTGAACGTCAGCTCTACACCTTGTTATCTCAGATTCTTCAGTATCTGCAGTTCCTGCTATCTCTAAACCACTTTACATCTGTTTTCTGGTTCTCAATCCTTCTGCTGATGGCAACATTCCAGAATAAAGCATGCTGTGTTTTATAATATCTGAAGTACTCTCAGGTGTAAGTTTCTAATTTACTGCATTAGCAGAGGCAGCAATGGCAGAAAATTGAAAAGATGAATGCATCATACAAAAACATTATGTGAATATATATTAGAGTTCAATAAACTAAATATTTTCAGTAATTAGTACTTCATGTATAGGGACAACTATGGTACAACTGAATTATAAAACATTCTATTTTCAGAGAACCTAATTTACATTCTCAATTCATTCCGAGGACCCAAAACTGATAATGGAAATTATTCGAGTGATAAAGGCTCCATGCTTAAAAGTATTTAAGTATTAGTTCCACGAAGATGATATTGATACAATCGTTTTCAAATCTGGAAGTACACAGGTCACAGCTACGACAGCATAACAACTCAAATGAAATCTGCAAGAATGCCTAGCTATCATTCCACTAAAACTTCCCTTATTTGCAATGGATAGCATAACTCATTAAGCCTTTTTCTGATTCTATTAGCATGCAACATTTACTTTTAGAGTTCCAGTGAAGAATAGTCACCCAAAAAGTGTATTTCCAAAGATGCTGATCATCTGTATGTTTTCAACCATTTCGAAGCACCAGAGCAACATATTTTAAAAGTGCTATATTGGCTAAATAAAGTTACTCTTGGACATTACGTATTCCAAAGCTGCTAACAAGTGAGCTATTAAAATTCACTTCCTACTGCACCACTGCCGTGGGAAGGAAGATCGAGGAATCTACGATACAAATTAGAGTCTCAATCACAGACGGCAGGAGCTCCAGATTTAGCTTTTCCAGTAAAGCATCGTTAACACATGCCATACCTCAAAGTTTAACCAAGTTAAATTTTGTGAAACATATATGCGCACAACCATAAGGCTGTTCTGTTATAAACTCTTCCCACCGCAAAGCAAGGCAGGTCGTCACTCTGGCAACACAGCGCTATTGGGCTGCTGTGTGAAGACTGCGGGACATTGGAAGGAACACGCTTTTATGAGTGATCTTTCGCCTTTAACGCTCTCCCACCCCCGAGCCGTTCGTTACCCGAGCCCCAGGCCCGTGCCGTGAGCCACAGAGAGAGAGAGAAGGAAGGAGGGGGGAAGATGGGGACACTCGGTAACCCGACACAGCTCACTCATCCTCCGCATAGCCCACTGCCCACAGAACATCAGAGACTGCTGCAGAGGGCCGCGCTGCATTAACACTGAGAGGCAGAGCTGTCGGGGACCAGGGTGACCCAAGTGGAGTTTGGAATTGAGTTTGATCCGAGCCGGGGCCCCGCTTACCTTTAACAGATTGGACGCCATGTTCAACTTTACTGACTCCTTCACAGAATCTCGCGAGACTTCGTGAAAAAGAGTTAACGGGGGAGGGGCCTTCGGGCGGAAAGGTGACAGAAAATGTGGAGGAGAAATAATATGCTTGTCACCACATAAAATAAAAACAGTTCACATCGTGACGGGGCGACCATGCGAACTGGTTATCCCTTTTCGATATGCGGTTTTCCCCTCCATTAATGTTCTCCGGTGTCCATTCCGATGCTCCCTCCAAATGCAGCCCCGATTCTAAACTTAGCTCCACAACAGCAGACCCATATCAGGCTCCTTCATGTGATGCCCAGGCAACGGCCAACGACAGCTTCCCCTCATTCACCGACACACTCCAGCAACACCGCCCCTAGAGGACAGCGTCGCTCCTTCGCCTGCTCACGCCCCCTCAGCAATCGGACAGCGACACTGCAGCGGTTCAGATCGGATACAGGTAACCTGCCCTCCGGGACCTGGCTGATAACACGGTTACCTCTTACCGACTGGAACCATGGAAAAGTTACAGCACAGAAACTGGTCACCCAGCCCGCCGTGTTTGTACCGGCTAAACGAACTTGTCGCCCATTCTAATCCTACTTAACGGAACTTGATCCGACATCCTTGCACGTTACAGAGCTTCAGGTTGCAGATCTAGGTTCCTCTTTTAAAAAAATAAGTTGAGGGTTTCCCCCCGAACAACCAAGATTTGCAGCAAATTTGTGGCACAGATCTAAATGCAGCGCCTTCCAGCAAATTCCAGCTACCACCGAACCACACTAGTATGAAAATAACCACAAAAGTCAGATGTTACAGCACTGCTCCAGGTACAATTGGCAACGTTAATTTAACTTCAGCGCCAGGTCACAAGGTCTTAAGATTGCCTTGGCTCTCCAGAAATTTTTGGAGTATCCATGAGTAAAATTATAGTGGTTTTAAACCACATTGGCCTAAATAAACCATTTCAATTCTCTGGAACAGATAGTGGGCATTAGCTTTCTGGTATTCTTCAATAATATTAATGAGGAACACTGCGCAGATAATGACCAGCAATGTCTGTACCTCCAAGGAATTTACTGCAAAAGTTTAGGTTTGGTATAAAAAAACGAAAAGGATCAAAGCAGCATAAAATTAGTTGTGGAAAAGCCAACTTAAATTGAGTGAGAACAAATGTGTTACTGATAAACCAGGATCTAAAATTGGCAGACAAATCTAGAAATGAACAATAAAAAAAATTCTGAAGAAAGGTCACTGGACCAGAAATACTAACACTGCTTTCTCTCTGCAGATGCTGCCAGACCTGCTGAGTATCTCCAGCAATTTCTGTTTTGGTTAAAACTGAACAGTGGTTATCTTTAAAGAGTTGATAGTTTGGATACAGTTAAAGTTCATTCCCATAGAGGGAAAAATAGGCCAAGCAAATCCAGAGCTTGCTGGATGAATAAAGACAGAGAAAGCCCAAAAATGGGTGGATATAGCAGGTATCAGATGCCATTACCCAATTGAGAATAAGGGTCAATATGGAACATTCCAAGGAGCATTCAATAAAAACAAATAAGAGAAGCAAAGAAGGAATATGAGAAGTGACTGACAGCTAATGAAAAGAAAAATCCAGAAGTTTGCAAAAGACATATACATAGAAGGGTGGCAAATAAAGAGGTACAAAGCAGATTAGGGATCTAAAATGAGATTTACACATGGAGGTCCCAAATGCGCATTTACCACCTGTCTTCGCCAAGGAAGATGATGTTGCCAAAATTGTAGTGAAAGAGAAGATGTTTGGGACAAATGATGAGTTAAACATCAGAGATATTAGATAGAATGGCTGAAGGTGAGAGGAAGGAGAGTCTGCTAGTAGGGAGAAATGTGTGCATCATGGCAAAGAAATTGCTAAACAAGAATGGCACCTTCTCACATTTGCACTTTGGAACTACGTGATGCAAGGGGGAAGGCCACGAATTACAGTGCAGTGCCTATCAGGCAAGAGAAATAGGTCTAGCAAGTTTTACCCAGAGGTGATGGCCCACTGACTCTTAAGTCATTTCTGGATATGATAATGAAAGAATGTAAACATAGAAGATAAGAGCCTCCTCCACCATTCATCACGATCATGGCTGATCGTCCAACTCAATAGCCTAATCCTGCTTTCTCCCCATTACCTTTAATCCCATTCACTCTACGTGTCATATCTAGTCGCCTCTTGAATACATTCAATGTTTTGGCATCAACTACTTCCTGTGGTAATGAATTCCACAGGCTCACCACTCTTTGGGGAGAAGAAAGGTCTCCTCATCTCCCTCCTAAATAGTCTTCTCTGAATCCTCAGAATGTGACTCCTGGTTCTGGACTCACCCATCATCGGGAACATCCTCCCTGCATCTACCCTGTCTAGTCATGTTAGAATTTTGTAAGTCTCTATGAGATCCCCCTTCATTCGTCTAAACTCCAGCTAAAAGAATCCTAACTTCGTCAATCTCTCCTCATATGTCAGTCCCACCATCCCTGGAATCAGCCTGGTAAACCCCAATCATCTGAGAAATTGGTTACCAACATATTTGGCACCACAGTCACTAGATCCATATACCTTGCTAATAAAACACAAAACCACAGTCTCTGAACTTTTATGCTGTTGACTCTTTCTGGAGTTGGATTGGAGACTTCTCCTGCATCACACACAGCTGCATCAGGCAGATGTTAATGCATTTTTTTGTTAGGGTATGGGAGCACTTAAACTTCCCAACTGATGTGGCATCGCAAATGCAGAGAGCCAAAGGTCTTGTCAAATGAGCAGGCTTCCCTCAAGTAAAGGAGATTATCTATTACTCCCACATCACCCCAAAACTGCAATTCACCAACCTGGCACTTTTATAATTCTTCTGCTCCATAAATATGCAGATTTTCCTGCATGTACATGCAGAGTACCCTGGAAATTGCCATGGTTCATTTATCTTGCCAAATTTACAAATGCCTCAGTTTTCCCAGACACCAACAGAGATCCATAGTTGGCTTATGGTTGGCAAGGGATAACCCTTAACAGTGTGGTTAGTGAATCCTTTTAGGTGTAGGCATTTATTCTCCCTTTCCTTAGTCGATCAGGTTTACTCTGGATATCAATAAACCAAGGCAGTTCTAACAATGGGATATAATCAAAGTTCTTCTTAAAGCAATGTACACTACAAAAAAGACTGTTAGAATTTTATTCATACAATGCCTACAAGCACAAATGAACCCTTTTATGTGGACCTGTATGAAGATCAGGCAAGAAAGGAACCTGCACTGTTCCAATTTCCAGTTGTTGATCAGACAGCTTCCTCATCCAATCAACCATATTGAAAGTCCCATTGTCAAGGTGGTTGAGAAGTTAAGGCAGTGGACTGCTAATGTATTTTGGGGCAGCATGGTGGCTCAGTAGTTTGTACTGCTGCCTTCACTACACCAGGGACATGGGTTCAATTCCAGCCTTAGGTAACTGTCTGTGTAGAGTTTACATGCTTTTCCTGTGTTTGTATGGGGTCTGGTGCTCCAATTTCTTCCCACAGTCCAAAGGTGTAGCTTAGGTGGATTGGCCATGCTAGATTGCCCAGTAGTATCCAGAAATCTGTAGGATTAGCCCTGAAGGATGGGAGGGTTACAGGGATAGAGGGTCTGGCTGGGATGCTCTTCAGAGGGTATATATGGACTTGATGGGCCAAATGGCCCCTCTCTGCACTTCAGCTTTTCCAGAGTTACTGTGACAGTTCAGTCCATTATTGCTAAGTTACACTTCTTACAAAGGAACACTTTAAAGCAGTGACCTTTCTAATCATTAGGTCATCACCAAACTTTATATATTTTCCTCTTCTCATTTAATTTAATTTCACTCAATTTCAGCTAACCCACGAAATCTTAGGTTAATATCTATAAAGTTGCTGGAAATGGTGCTTGAACATCATTACAGGAACAGCCATGCAGTGACCCACAATACATTAGAGTGGGCTATTGCCATCTTGAAGGTGCACTTTAGGTGCCTTGACCATTCTGGATGAGCTCTACAGTATTCCTGGCAAGGCTATCCAGAATATTTATCATGTGCTGCTTGCTATACAATGTTTTGAAGTGTAGGGGTGTTCAGAAATCAGACACGGAGGAGGGGCAAGGAATTGGCAATGGCTGGCCAGCAGAGGGCAGGGTTCTGGGAAGGTCACAATTTATATCCACTATTTTCCTGTGAGCAACTTCCACAGAATAAATCTTTAACATGGAAGCCACACTTCTTCAGAACAATACCCATTCCTAACAGGACAGAAAATCATCAGGCCATAGTAAAAGTCACTTCCATCAACATGGCTGAAGCCATATTCATCAGAATCCTTAGTCTTAAAATTGTGCACAAATACACTCTGAGAAGTCCTTCACAGCCTGCTTGTGCACATATATGTTAGAAGCTGTCAATGAGTGGGTGAACCCTGTGCCTATTGAAATCATTCCAAATATACCAAGTTTTCTTTATATTCACTCATGGGATGTGGGCATCATTGGCTTGCCAATATTTATTGCCTCTCCCCAGCTGCCCTTGAGAAGGTGGTAATGAGCTGCTTTCTCAAGCTGCTGCAGTCTCTGTGCTACAGGGAGACCCACAATATCATTAAGGAAGGAGTTCCAGGATTTTGATCCAGCAAGTGAAGGAACAGGCGATACATTTCTAGGTCAGGGCGGTGAGTTGCTTGGTGGGGAACATGCAGGTAGTTGTGTTTCTGTACGTCTGCTACCCTTGTCCATCTAGATGGGAGACATTGTAGATTTGAAAGGTGCTGTCTAAGGATCTTTGGTGAATTTCTGGAGTGCGTTTTGTAGATAGTGTGCCAATAGGAGGCAGGAGTTTACACTCATATCCTTCGGATATGCTTCTACGTGTTAACAATGCTGCAGAAACTGCATACTGTGTTGTGCACAGTGATGCCACACTTTTGTCAAAACAATTCCTTCAACTAACTTCAATATTATCCATCCACAAATGGTGTCCAGTGATGAGACTGTGCCACATCGTGCTATGCAAAGCTGCCAAATATATCACCCCGCCTGTGAACAGACAGCCTCTATTACCAAGAAGACAAAGATGTCAAATGGACTGGAGAAACCATACAAATACACTTCCATAGAAGGCATGGCATTTTAATTTGCAGAAAATCCACTTAGGTTTCTATGTACCAGTCAAATGTAAATAATTTTGACATAGCACTCATGCTTGAAGTGTTTCTGATAAATTGGATTTGATCTTTGAGTCTGATCATTTTATCTTTAAAGGAGAATCCATCATTGATGGCAAGGAATGCTGAAGAAAACATTT